AAGCCCCCCCATATATAGGGAAATAGTCTGATTTAAAAAAAAAGTATATCCAATGAAAGATGTATATAAATACTACTTCTCATGAAAAAATTGTATTGATCCATACATTTTTTAAAAAGTTATAGCACTTTAAAGTAAAAAATGTAAATTATAAAATCGAGAATTTTCACACGAAAATAGTATTCGATAGCCATTTTCGCCGTGAAGACAAGTCCAGAGGTCAATATTTTTTTTTTCAAATTAAAGTATATTACATTAGCTTTAATTTAAGATATATATAAAAGTGTCAGATCTTCCGGAATATTTTCAAAAGTTAAGTTGAAAAAGTTAATTTTTTGTGAAAAAGTTGTCTTTTTAAATCTCCCCCTATGGGCAGATAAAGGGTCAAATTTACAAAAAAAATTTATCAAATGATAGGTAAAGACATCAAACATCTATAAAAAAAAAACTATATTGATATGTTCATTTTTAAAAAAGTTACAACACATTTTAGTAAAAAAAATTGAAAAAATTTCGAAAATTAACGATTTTTAAATTTGTAATTTTTTTGGAGGTTTCCCCCATTTATGGGGAACAAGGGAAATTTTTTCAATTTTTGAGGGTAATGTCTTCGACTAGATACAATTTGTGATCTTTTGACGTATCATTGAAAGAAATCGNATTTTTTCAATTTTTGAGGGTAATGTCTTCGACTAGATACAATTTGTGATCTTTTGACGTATCGTTGAAAGAAATCCGTTCAGTGAGAGCTGAGAAAAAGTGGTAACAGACACAAAAAAAAAAAAAAACACATCATAGTAAAACCAATACCTTCTCAGCTTCGCATCGAAGCTAAAACCTAATCTAAGAATAGAATTGTACATCAATAAATATCAAATTTTTGGGAATAAACAAATGGAAAAATTCCCTCATTTACGGGTAACGAGGAAATTCCTCAAAAAATTACAATTTAAAAAATGTGAAATTTTCGACCTTTTTTAAGCATTTTTTCCTAAAATTGCCATATCTTTTTTTAAAAAATGAACAAATTAACATAATTTTTTTTTAATGATATCGTAGACATTTACCAACCATTTAATATATTTCACCAAATATATCAAAACTATACACCAAATAATTGCAATATGTAATATTTTCATATTATGTTAAAGTTATGTCAACAAAATTTAAATATAAATATGCATTAATATTTAAAACTTAAACATTTTTTTATTCTACTTGTGTTTCAAGTGAAAATATACTTGGTACATACTAAAAAAAATATTTATTACACAACTCGATAAAATTTGGATCATAGAATGTTTATGAATATTTTTGTTGTTTCCGAAAGGTTTATTGACATTGGATTCAAACATGGCTTTATTTTTTCTCTACCATAAATATTTTAGTCACAATTCAAATATTTATTAAATAACTTTTTTTTTCAAATAAAATGTTAATTAAAAAAAGAATTTTTTTAGTACCCCTCCTTAATTCTGTTTCTTGTTAAAAGATCTTTTTATTTTTATATTTGTTTTTAATCACCAACAAACCTATGTTTAATGTATTATATAATAAATTAAAATAGATAGTTTGTAGAGTAGATTTTAAGAAAAATTTTAATACCTACTTTATAAATATAATTGACATAATGCTTAATATAAAATAAATCTCTTGATAAATAAATTCTAATTGTAATTAGAATAAGTAGTTTTATCTCTAAAGAGATAAAATTACTTATTAAGTAATAGATATTATTAGTGTTTTTAATTGAGTTAAAGCAAGTCATTAGAACGTTTACAATTTTCATGGAAAATCCATACACATATCATATTTAGTGTGAAAAGATTGTGTTTACTTCTGTCCCTTTTTAATAAAACATAGCCAGCGTTTGATAGCGTAGAATAAATACAGAAAAATTCGAATTTTTACAAAATTTAAAATGTTATAGAAAATTAACTGCAAAACATTAATAAAAATTTTTTTCACCAAATTATTTCTTAAAATTTATTCTAAAATATGGCTATTTTGAATTTTTTTTAACATTTCTCGTAAGTTTTTAAAATTATAATTTTTTTTATTTGATTATAAATGTGATATTTATAATATTATAATTATAGCCCTTACGTATATTAAATCTTAAAAAAAAAAATTAGCAAAAAATATTAACTGGATCAAAAATTATTTAAGTTGTCAGTGAGTGTTAGGCCACATGTATATTAAAAATTGCTCATGGTAGGTGAATTATGTTAAGAACCCTTTTAAAGTTAAACATACAAATGTAGTAACTTTAAAAGAAAAAAATTTAACAACGTTTTAATATAAAAATATAATTTATAGATCTATAACACGTGAATTGGTTAACGTAATAACAAACTACAAAACGAAGTCGAGGACCAAGCTACTTAAAAATTTTATCATGATAAACGGTTAAAATTTCAGATAATTATACAAATTGTTCTTGTTTGAGTAAAATCGGAGATGCGGTTTTGTGTGGCCGTGGACCGCATTGATGTGTACTACAGCACTAAATCACTATTGAGGTGATAATTGTTAAAAAATAAGGTTCGTCAACGATATATTTTTAGATATCGAAATCGTTTCGATTTTCAGTGATATTATATCGTAATATCGAACGAAAAATTGTTCCCGATATCGAAAAAAAAAATATATTCAAAAATTAAATTAAATATTTTAATAATTTCACCAATTTCTTTTATATTTAGTATAAGTAATCATTGCTGTACAAATCCATTAATCTTTAAGATCAATTTCAAAGTAATAATAATAATAAGTAATAAAAAGTAAATAAGATCTATGTGAAAATCAGTATATGGTGGTATAACAACAAAATCAGATAATCATATTAATATTAAATAATATATAGATAGTAGTTGTATCTCATAAGGATAATAAAACATTTTCAAATTACTTTTTATTATGAAGAAATAAGTTTTTTTTAATTACAAGACTTTATTTTTTTTTTTATTATAATTGTTCTTTATTGAATAATAATATTATAGTTTCAGTATTTTGGTTTTAAATAATAATAATAAAAGATTATAAGTGCTGTTTATATTTTTTTTATTACTTTGTCATAACTGAAAAGAATTTTTTTTTCTTTTCAAAAATAATATTTAAACTATACAAAATAAAACATCATCTTCATCAATAGCATCTAATAGGGATTTTTTTTCTTCGAGTTCAATAATATCATCTTATTTTTCAGATTGAGTTTCAACCAGTTGTAGCTAATATATCTTCTAATGCTGAAATATCTATCTCTAAATCTCTTCATACCTTACTTTGTTCGTGTTTTATTAAAATATAGGAATAATAACAATGTTATAATAATAAAAAGCCTAATCTAACAATAGAATTTTCTATTAATAAATGTCATTTGTCGTCTTATTTTAATTCTATATTTCATAATATATTTAAATACGAAAAATGTCAACAATATTATAACGAACTTTTTTTTTAGCCTAGTATCAAATAATAAATATTTTATAATAAAGTGACCAAAATTTAAGAAGTTTTTTTATAATAATATATTTTTGATTATGGCGATATCTTAAAAATGATCGAAATCGTGGGAAAAATGAAAAAAGTCGGCAGTATCGATATCATTAACGAAACCCTATTAATAAATAATATATTAGATAAATGTAAAAAGTCAGTTTATAATAGCTAGATAAGTATACACATTTCTCTTCTTATTAGACCATATAAGGTCATCGAGGGAGTTACGAAATGATAATTTTCGGGCTTCTTGTGGTGCGGCTGCCTTGTGTTTAGTGAAAATCCTGACACGAACGCAACAACGGTCGTTCGATGACGGGCTGATCATATCAATTGGATAGTCCGACAAATTGTCACAAAAGAACTAAAGCGAAGGATAAGTAAGTCATGTGCTTTTCGATCGTGAAAAATGTTCGCCATAAATCTGTCAATATAATAACAACATGGTACCAAGCGCTTCGTCGTGCTCGGGATGAAGGTAAAAACGAGGCGACGGGCCATATTGTCGGACTTACTATACACGACCTTGAGATGTGAACCGATATTTTCCCTTCTGCTTTTAACGACACACTCTCGAGTATTATAATACACCTTTAGTTGCTACGTCCTTATTAGGTTTCCCTCGAGTTCGCTGGACCATAACTAGACAAAAAATAAATAACACTGATGAAGCTTTACGTGTGTCCTATCGGCATGCAATCGCATTGCACCGTGTAACAATTATTATTTTAATCTGTGCAAACAGTCATCCTTGCATGTCCAAGCAATCGACCTGGATTTAATAGCCGGTGTAAAGTTCATGGGTGCAGGTGAAGTGCGCCTCCAAGTGAAAAATTGTTCATTTGCTGGTGACTTGGAAGAATATTACGAATAATTGGCGATAGTCTACAGTCCAGGGTCTTTTTGCCCACTAGTTAACAACAAATTATTTAGTTGATATGTTGTTATCAATAGAAAAAACCTATGATATTGCATCATGTAGTATTAGAATTGTTGTGAAAATACTATAATGACAAATTTGCTAAACACAACACGCGATTTAATGAAATAATTTGGATCGGACGTATTCGAACCATGGACATCTGTGGGTTGATGAGTCAACCCATATGCTTGCTAAGCGTGTGGTAAACATTGTCAACATTGAAATAATTAGTGCAGTCACCTCTTCAAAACTACGTTTTAAATTTTGACAAATTCAAAATTCAAATCAATTTTCAGATGATGAAGTTGGTAAGGCATCCACTTAAATAGTACTACAATAAGTCACTTAAAAAATATCAGCGGTAGTGGTCTAAGCGAAAATACTTTTGTAGGTCATTTATCAGTCATTGAAATTATAATGTGAATTTATAAATTTTTAGAGGTTTCTGAATTTACCACTTGTATAGATGAAATGTATTAATAATTACAATTGTTTATCACTTTCTGAAATTCGTTAAACTTGTCCAGAGGTGCTATTAGGTATTTTTCACGTATTACGAAAAGTCAACAAACTAGTCAATAATTAAAGTAGGAAACAAGTCAGATATTATATTAGCGGAAATTATAACCGAGCGAATTTTGTCAACGCCAAAGTGCAGATGACCTGACAAACCAGTTGTGCAAAATTTCTTTATCGCTTAGTAGACTGTTGTGTAGGTTCTGCTCCGGGCAAGCTCTCTATTTTATAAATAAACTCCGACAAACTACAAGATCAGAACTAACATTACACGAATTGTTACAGTAAACTATTATCTAAAATATAGATATAAAAAACTGTGTATTTGAGAATTAATGTTTTCGAGATACGTAATATTCTAATTCGCATTAACAGCAATACACATATAATGATTCGAAATGGTTGCTGTATAAAAAAGAACAAATTGTTAGATAATCAGTAACGCCTACGTGGACAAGGCAAAGTGAATCATCGAAAAACACAAAAGTTTTTCGACGATCGTCTTAAATGGTATCGTGATAGGCAATTTTTTTTTTATTTTTACTTAAACTGAACGTTGAATAATCGTCTTTAATGCTTTTTAGGTACCTACCTGGTAACAGCATAAACATGAGATTTCTTGTAATGGTTGATGGGATAAACAGTGGCCAGAGGGTCGTCTGTCGGAGTAGCCGGCAATTGCAGCCATTTGTGCATCTCTGAAGACACACATCCATTACACTTCAATTCTTACCTGTAAATAAACACGTTATATTTTAGATTTACTCCAGTAAATAATAAAAATTATTTAACATGTAAAATAAATCATATTATCGTATCTGGATAATATTTTCTGTCGAATTAAAGACAATTAAACTAGTAAATGAATACAAACATTTTATTTAAATACCATTTATTACAAATAATATATTAGTTTATATATTTTAAAGTACAGTACTAAGTCAGTTGTGCACTATCATTAATTTTTAGTAACAATTATAAATTTTGCAGTATAATGTACACAGATGTATTTTAAATCAAAACAAATATTTAGTTAAGTATAAAGAAGATATAAATTTAATTAAATATCCGTTTTGATTATATTATTTTAATAAATTTTCATCGGTATTATTATTACATCTACACAATTCAAGTTTAAGAAGTTCAATTCACAGAAAATTATGTATTAGTTGATGATCAAAGAAATTATAAAAATTACCTATTTTTACATTATGATAGTTTAACTAAAATATATTAAGGTGAATGATTAACTCCCACGTTGCTTGGTCAAGAACAATAAATCAAAGTGTAAAATAAAAATCCTGAAGTGCATTTCATTTCAAATTAAAATTAATTTCATGCAAGAGTTCATTACCGTATAGACGTTTTACTACTATTGCACACTATATCAATACTTTCATTTAACTACTCATGATTTTTATACTTAAATAAACATTCAACAAGATTCAGGAGATGATGTTATAAGAAGCTCATAGGTATCAAGTAGGCTACAATATTTCACAACTCAATAATTATTAAATTATTGAAATTATATTTATCTTGTACGATTAAAATTTTATTTAGACATTCACTATAGGAAGCTGAAAATTTACAGTAAGTGTTAATGCTCAGTTGTGCAATCAAAGGGAGGCTCTGGGCCCGAATCTTCTTGAGATTTTCTTAATTGAAAAATTGTGTAAGATTATTAAAATTATTTAGTTATTTTGATAATACAATGACTTTTTTTTTTGTCCTAATTCGAAGCAGATAAAAAACCGTTAACACATATTGTCATTTCTTGCACCTTTTAAATATAAATAAATATTTATGTTTATATTTTTAGTAATATAGTACTGTACCTCCCTATAAGGGATATTTTTGGTTGCTCTACTGTCCATCATTTACCGAAGAATTAAGGTGAATTAATGCATTTTCAATATTATAAATAATATTTTTTCGTGCACGTGATAAAAAGTTATACAAACCTATTCGTATATTTATTCATCAAGTCTGCAGTTTGATTGAATAGTTATAATAAATAAAAAAGTATAACTTGCACGTGCCTTTTATTTTTAATAGTTTAATCATCACTAATAAGTGTGATTGTTTTACTCTACTTTAGCACTAATGTATAAATAACATGAAATATAATACATTATATATAGTTATATTAAAAATGTTTTAAAACTTTCAAAACAACGTACGATTTATAAATATATATATATATATATTACAACCTTACGATTGTGGGTTCATGCAGTAGTGTTTGTCTATGTAATTAGTAAGTATGAAGTCATAACTTAAGAGTGAGATAGTACAGCGTGCCGTAATAAAAGGTAATGGCTTATAAGCCTAAAGGTGAAAATTTTGTGCGACGAGCAGCGTGTGCTCATGTAGGTAACCTACTTATTTATAAGGAAGAAATCACTGTCCCGGATAATAGGTATGATAAGAGGTTTAATCCCGGAATAAATAAATTAATAAATTATAATATCCTTTTTAAAAGTGATCTACCAAGAGGAATATGAATCCGTTTCACATGGTTTGTATGATGTAACACGTAACCAACGGTCTAGAACAACCAAAATGTAACCGCATAAATTAAAAATATGCACAGCTAATTTTTGCGGTAATAAGAAAATCACAATTTAGACGATACAATTAGTGATGAGAATCAACAAAGACTCAACGTTATAACCACTCGAAGATTTAATGATACAAAAACTAAAATTGCTAAGAAGTAATTTTTTTTTTTTATAAATCATAAGGTAATATTCTACAATCTTGTATAGGTTGTTCAATCACCCCGAAAGTCAGCGAGTAACATAATTAACTTTTATTGTTATAACACCGGCGGTCAATGACGTAAAGAATAGGCTAATATGCCTTTAATAAATCCATCATTGAAGATACCGCGTCGAGACTTCTTCGGTTTTGTCTGGCAATGCTATTAGGTAACAATGTAGATACAAAAATGCAATAATTATTATTCATTTCATTTTTTTGATATACATACAACCGTGGCCAATTAACTTTTATAACAATCTTACTGAAAATCGTTAGAATGATGTTTCATTAAAGAATACTTTTATCGGGACATTGCATGAATACCTAATGTTTACAACATATTTCTTCTAAATCATTAGTTTTTAAAAGAATACCCTTATTGTTTAGAAACACATTCCGTTAAATATGATAACTATTTCGAATTTGATCTTTATTGAATTGTGATTCTAGTCGTAGGATTATAACTCAATGAGGCGTTTGGATTAATATAATACGAAACCCATTAAATTCTTTGCAAAAAATTTATACTGATACTTCGTTGTGTAATTGCATAAGGTTGTGGGCCTTAACTGCTCGAAAGTGGGCAGTTTACCAGTTCGGAAAACATCTAAAACAGGTAGAGGAAAAGTTATAATATGGTCGTTGAAATTACGTTACGTTTGTATTTCAGGAAATCCAATAAATTATAAGAGCAATGGTACTTAGATTTATAAATCATATTATTTTTCTAATAATATTCCGCGATAAATGTGTTTAGAATACTATCCAGAAAATCAAAAGTGTGCAAGCTAAACTCATGTAAAATGATTAACAAAGATTACCCCAACTGGGTAAAAGAAAACATTACAAAGTAATATTTATTTGTTAAACAAAAAGTATTAGTAAAATGAGTAAATTTGTGAGTAATAAAACTGTATTTAATTTACTGTTTCAGTAATAAGTAAGATCCTTTTAAGAACTAGTAAAAATCAAAATAAATCAAATCCTTATAAGGATTTGATGTATTATTTATAATATTATATCATTTCATTATATTTATATATTATTATTATTGAGATTTCAATATTTTTCTAAATATTATGTACTTTTAAAATCATTTAACTGGCTATTGAAGTTCCAATGTATATTGGTTTTGCCACATTAATTTTTTTTTTTAATTCTTCTCAAGTATAAAACATTAATTAATAACTCATTATTAAAATATAAATGATATAATAAATAATAAAGCTGAGAATTTCTTTAAAATAATTCATTTTTTTTTTTTTTTTTTTTTAAGAATAACAATTTAAAAAGATTTAAAATTTTTAATCGTTGCAAAATTCTTCATATTAATAGAAGAAAATACTTTATATTTTTTAAAATGATAATTCATAAAATCAGTAATAATTTTGAATAATAAACATATTTGAAATTATTATTTTAACGACTATTTAAAAAGCTAAATATATGTAGATAATATTTTTTCTAAGTTTTATATTAAGTTAACAAATAATTTTACCGATTTACTATGTGAAGTTTGAAGTCCTACATCAAAAGTAACATGAAAGGACATTGTCACATCATTAAAATTGACGATGTTTTTCGCATAAGTGGAAATTAAATTAAAAACGGTACTTATCATTGTAGCACTTTGGACAAAAGTCATTAATATTGTATAGCTATATGTATTTATGGTTGAAAAAAAATCATTGTCACACATTAATTACTATTTATTTTATTTACAATAGGACATTATTTCATAAACTTTAATGAGAACACAATATTGACAGTGTCAGTATTATTTTATTGTCTGGTCATGTATAAACGGCAGCTATAGTGCATAAATAAATACAAAATATAAAAAAAAAAACATTATATTGCATGAAAAGATAAATATATATTGTTAACTTGTTCTAAGGATAGTATTATTGTAATTTTTGTATATGCATGCATGTAATTAGTTATCTTACGATGCGTTCATAATGTGAAATTCTAAGATCGTTTACATCACACACATCAGCTTATTACAATATGCAGATTAACACAAAGTGGAAAATATCTAACTAACAATTCTTATAACTTTTGATCCAATAATAATCATTTCACTGTAATCTTTTTCATTTATTTTTTTTAAATTTTAAAGTTGTCGTTTTTAAAGTTTTTCTCAAAGTTTGTAATGGCCAGTAACAAATTTAGGACGAGTAATTATTGAGTTACAAGCTTTTTATACATTGAGTGAGTATGTAGCGCGGGTGGGTACAACTTATACTGGTGTATATTTATAATACATAATCTATTTGTGATACATTCTCATTTTATAAAATTAAATTCTTGTAACGAAATAAGTATTTTATTTAAAATTTTTATTCATCCATTATCGTTTTTATAAAAAAACTGGCTAAAATGTTGACATTTTTTTTATTGCTAAAAGTAATCAATAAAACTATAATTTTAACGCAGTTTAAGAATCCATAACATTTTTTTTTTTTAATACTAGAAAGTGATAATTGTATTAAAAGTGATAGAATTTGTTAGATCTGTCCCATTGTGTATATTTGGTACTAGAGTATAACGAACTGTTTGGAATTTGTCACCTTCACTGCGTTGCCGGACAAGCTACGGTTTTATTTTATCATTCACGCCTCAGGAACAATAGCATTTTTGTTCAGACCGAACTGACTAAATTTAAACACTTTTTCATTCATCACTTTAACCATAGGTAAAAATACACGCGTTTGACTTTGAAATCATTCTTCCATGTTGTTCCTATAGAAACAGCAGAGAAGGCGATATCCTCGTGGTCATCTTGGCTTAGTAAATGATTCTTGTACACGTACTCTTTCGTGTCATCTTCCATTGTTTCGCTGCTTGCGCGAGTGCGTTGAACTCGAAGTTTGAAAATGTTTTTGAAAAATAACTCCAAGTTAATACGTTAACATAAAATGACTTTTTTGCAATTTGAATGAGTTTTTATAAATTGATTTCATTCCCACGTCTTTTGACCGTTTATATCGTTTCCTGTGTTTTATCAATCCGTCAATGAATTAAATTCAAATTATAAATTACATTAATGACGCAGAAACTAATTCTTTGAACGGAAGTAACGATTAAATTCTGTTAAATTTATTCACAATATGTTTGACTTTGACATTAAAATAAAAAAAATTAACAATACTCTTATCTAAATCTCAGGATTACAATTACAGTAATTACAATCTCAACTTGAGTGACATAACAGTATAACATAACATGCATTATAACAGTCGTGGATAGAATTGTTTTGATATACCGAATAGTTCGTAAAGGTTACTAATTTCGCGCGGTCACACCTTCCCACCAGTGAAACCTTTCTCTCAGTTGTAATATCACATAATATAAACACGCTACAAAAAGATTATTTAGCTTTGTATGCAAGTCATTTGATTTGATGTTATTAATATTATTAGATATTATAGTTCATTAATAAATACAATTCATTATGCATGTTGATATTCCTTGATCAATTGATTTTGAATAAAATTTTCCTAAAATAATTTGAGGAAAAAATATACCTTTTAAAAGTTTTGGATTTTGTTGGCCTCACCATTGTTTTCATCCTCATTAAAAAAATTACTGTTTCTTTAATTTGACTCGTATCAAAGGACATTATGTATACACCAAAGAACTTATGTCATTAAATCATTCTGTGATTTTTTACGAATTGCCTTGAAATAGATAATATTGAAGTTTATAGTATTCAACTAATATGATTACTCTGATATTCAATAATTCGTAACGCGTTCAAACATATTCATTGAACTATTAAAAAAAAATGTTAAAAAAATCTTCTATTAATTAAACTTTGAAAAATAATTAAGTATAAAAAGTTAAAATAAATATTTGATAATTAAAAAATTGGAATTTTGGATTTATGACTTTTTTTAACAAGAATTCTGTACTAAATTTAATAATTTAAAGAAAAAACGAAATTGTTTAAATCTGTTGTTATGTTTTTAATTAATGTGTATTTATTATAAAACATAAGTGACTAATTATAAGTTACGAGTAGAAAACAAAGTATATTTTGAAATTTAAAAACATATCTGCATAAATCTTAGTATAATAAATTATACTATATATATTACGAGAAAATATTTAAAAATATGTAAAAAAAATATCGTATTGTAAATTATAAGAAAAATAATTGGAATGATTTTTTTAATTGGTCGTCTTAAAGACTTTATTGTGTGTTAACTGTTACGCATGAATAATTCTTTTTTTTATTCACTGTCCTTGTCTTTCAACTTCTCACATGTGATTCAAATTTCTGAAAATTAAATTCGGACAACAAAGTTCTACACCTACAGAGAGTATACATACAATATGATTTCTTAAGTGTACTACACCATTTTCTGGTTAAATAATGATTTTTTGGTCAAAATAACACAGTGATCATTCACCACCTTAGCATTGATGGGTTTTATGAGAACTTTAATAGTGTCATACACCTTGCCCCATACGGGTATATTTATGCTCTACCACTTTATTTAACGTTATAAAAAATAAAATAATAACTAATATTTGAAATACAAAATGATGGAGATAGAAATATGAAGTCTATAAATAAATAATTTTACATCAAACGGCATTCTATGTACACTTATATATATCTAACTTAGTAGACATAACTTGTTCGTAGAAAACTGCATAAAGAGTAATTAAAAAGCTAATAGCAGATATTTATTTTAGTCAACGGTTTAATGCGTCGGTAGCTTTATACCTAAAACAAGGTAATTGTGTAGTAGAGTAATAAATTTGTACGTACACATCAGTATTAACTTATCGTTATAAATATTGTAATAAGTATTTATTTTACAATTAGTTTTAGAGGCAAGAACAAAGCGTTAAATGATATTTCGATGTTCATCATAGATAAATAATTTGTCTATGTTATTTAAACCGAAGACAATTTAATTAGCACTTACTATATGGTCTTTTCAACAAAATAGTCGGAATTTTTCCGTATATTACATAAAAATAAACAATATTAATTTAAAGTATAGGTACTCCATAATAAAAATTTCTTTTACAATACGTTATGTTCTTTATAAATAATTTGTTTAATTTTAATTGGGACTAACAATAAAACTAATTAATATTAACTATAAAATCGAATTCAAGAAAAACAAAATCTAGGATTATACTCCAAAAACTGATAAATCATTTTTAACAAGTTTTCAAAAGAAACTAAATATTGATATTATAAAAAGATGCTATTAATATCAGATGTTATGATAAATAAAAATTTTAGCAATTATTGATGCTAGAGAAATAAATACATATTCTTAAAAGGTAACAAGTAAACAAATTTTTCCTCAGAATTCCATTATTTAGAAAAAATACCTAAAAAAATTGATAAGGTAACAAAAACGATTAATTGAAAATAAATCGGTCGGTTAAAAACTTTGCACTTCTCAGTCTAAATATCTATTAATGGGAATAAAAATAAAACAATTTACTTTATGTTTACAGAGTTTTCTAAATGCAATATTGCACTTTTTAATTATTTACTAAATAAAAACAACTTTTTTAATTCAAATATAATGTAATGTTAAACGTTAATAGTCTACTACAATAATTATGTACCTTATTATGTATTATACGTAATTTTAAATGTAAAAAAAACTTACAGATAATAATTTCTGTATGCACACCACTAAAAATCCAAAATAAATCAACTTCAACCAATATATAAAACAAAAACGAAAAAACAAAAAATAATATCACGTTATCGAACGTGATTGAGCAAAAAACCGAACACACGTGTAAAAACTGAATAAAAGAAATTGGGCATAGACTACTTCCCACAACGAGCACACAACGGTGACTGAACTGATCGTTGGGCAGACGACGTTAGATCTCCGAGGAAAGTGAAACTTGACAGCCACACCCTCCACTGCCTTCTCAGAGATAATAAGTAGTGCGTATAACAACGATTATCAGCATATTTTTGGTATATTATTAATAAATTAATCATTTTATACTTGATTAGATTCAACGCTAAGTTGATAGGGAGGGTATTGATTTTACTATAATTTATTAAATTTAATTATTTATTTTTTATGTCTTATTGCCACTTTTTTCAGTTTTTACTCTACCTTATACATACCTTCTTCCTAATAATTATAAATTCTATACAGTTTTTAATTATTGTTAGGGTTCAATGAAATATGGACACATCGTATAAAATGAATCACTAAACTCAAAGTTACATGAATATTATGATATACTTTTAATATTAAAATTTAAAATAATTCAGTTAAAAGTAATAATTTTTTCCGTATAATAAATTTGAATATTGAGTACCGCTAATGTGGTAGCGAGGACCGAATATTTGATGGCCAATTGGATAATTTCCAATTATTATCTGTTGCAAATTGATCCAGATACTTGTTTCCTTATCGATATAATGAATTGTTATTGTAACTTTACTATTTACATAAATATTACAAATTGCTAATTAAAATTTATTTCTTTTTACTTTGAAAGTTTAGTAAAACTTTACTTAAGACCTTCTACCTATATTTTATTTACAACATGAATTTTAAATTGTCCAAATGAATGAGCCATGACGGTCAATTAATTTGTATTTTACTGTGTGACCATGATAAAATAATGTGATCATTACAATAAATATAATACACATAATACTATCGAATATAACTATTCGCAGAAATGTATTCTCTATTATATTAATGTAACATTGAAATAATTCTGATTGACAAGTCAGAATAGAGTTAAATTGGAATGTGTCTTTTAAAGACAGTGAAAATAGTTAAATAAACATATTAAATATTAAAATATTTAATAAAATTCTTTAGATTAAATAAAAAACATTTAATGACAATTAAAAAACAAATTTTTAATGTGCAACTATATAAAATGAAAACATTTTCTTTATTAAAAAAAAAAAAACAATCATAATTAATAGCAATAAATAAAAGAGTGCATAAATTTCAAATTAATTTGATTCTTGATCTCATCGCTATTTTCACTTTATAATGTTCTACAAATAAATATTTTTAGTATATTTATAAATCGATTTTGAACATATTAAGCAAAACATTTTATTAAACTTAAACGATTTTGTACACATGTATTATTAAAATATTTCATTAGTAGTTTGTATCTTATAATAGAGTTGCATATTTTTCTGTTTTTTTTTTTATTTTTACTTATATTTATAATATCAATTTGCATGTACCTTTATTTAAGTTGTATTTTATATGATTAATTGAAAAGGGAAATAATTATAATTAATGAGCTCGATACAAAATGTTTTATGAAGTTTAAAAACTTTAATAATTTAGAATTTTTGTAATTATCTCATTTTTGAATTTATGTAACTGCATTTTTTTACCTTATATAAACACAGTCAAAATTTGTTTTTGAAAAATGAAATGGAGTTATTTAGTGTTTGCACAAAGCCCTTCAATTATAACACAATAGAGTATTTTATGATTCATTAATGATTTCAATAAATTTATAATTTAATGTACATTCATTGAATTGAATTAGTCCAAAAAAGTTGAAAATGCTTAAATAATTAAATAATTGTTTAAAAATATTCAATAATTAAAAATTTAATTTTCACTATCATCCCCATTGCATTAATTTAAGACATCCAATATTTTTAGTGCCTAAGGGTGAGTTGATTGAGTTGGTGAATTTAAAATTTAATCATTACCTTTTTTTGTTATCATAACCTTGATTTAGTGAAGGCGAATTTAGCAATTTAACGATTTTTCTTAATTTATAAGTCTATTAGCTCTCTACCAACTCACCCTACTCGTTTATTCATGTGCAGTACTTTTTTTGTTCGTCGCATCCTTATTTTAGAAAAAAAAAGAGTTACTTACATTTAAATGCTGTTTTTTTATTTGACGACATTTCTTTAAACATCCGCGCTAGCTTACTCTCTCATCCAAAGATAATTCGTGTTAACATAAAATTCTAATTATTTAATGTGATATGATTTTAATTAATTTAAGATTTACCATCTAACTCAAGTTCTCCCTAAATTTTTCAATTACAATCAACATAAAACATCATCGATCTGTTTTGAAATAATTTTAATAAGTAAGTTTATAAAAACATTTTGGAACATTATAATGATTAATAGTATACTGTAAATCAATAAAAAGCGTAAACAAATAACTCGAATAGTATAATATAGTTATACTATTCAAGTATTAAAATGAAAATTATTATAATTTCAAAATACTTTTCAAGTCTATAACGAATAGCATCTGTGAAGCTGAAGGACAATTTTAGACTAGGTCTATTGTCTCCTAGAAAATAGTGGTTCTGTGTCCGCACACTTACAAGTGGTAATTAAATGCATTATTCCGTCGTTGAGGAAACGCCAGTAAAGCCTAGTAAGGCGTAGGTGTCAACATTTTCAGAACTTGGCTCGTTAGGTGTAACGGTAGATATATACTGATTAAATGTTGTAGTGATGTAAAAAAGTAGAATTCTATTTGATGGACGAAGGTCACGTGCTTGTAAATCAAAACTTGCACGATCTCTTTGTTTTTAACGGTATTATTTTTGTATTTTATTTTAGTAACTTAGCGTGGATAACTCGTAAATGCGTGGGTGGTACACTATGTATTAGTATTAGTATTATTAATACTATAATATGGAAACAACGGCCTTAGTCCTTAAATGTGTTTACGAGTAGGATCAGTACAAACTAAACCGCGTAAAGGTTGGATAAGGTTCAGGGTGACAATATACAGTTTCCATAATATTATAAACAATTAAAATAATATTTTGCAAGAGAATTCATGTTTTGTATTTTATATTTTTCGTATCTCATCATTAATAGATACTACTGTGTACATGCATAATTATTATAACAACTAAACATGCAATGCTGATATTTGTTGCAACACGTTTTTTTATTTCTATGACTTGAAATTAAAGATTGTCCTCGACATAGGTACTAACTTACTAACATTTCAGATTTTTTTCTATATTACTTTTATTTTATTCAACATATCGATACGACTAAATATAATATTGTAGTCAATCAAAATCCTTTCGCTGTATAAGACTTTAATAAATAATTAGGACACCATGAAGACCAACCAGAAGATTATTTTCTAAATTAATTTTAATGAAGATACCTCAATTTTGAAAAAAAAAATGTATAACGTAAATTATAAACTAATCATACATTTTTAATAAATACTTTTTGGATTACACAATTATTAAATATTTAAAATTAAAATAATATTTCTGCAAAGGCCAGACGTTTTTTGGAATTGTTAAAGTTTCTTAATGTTACTGTATTTTCTTAAATTAAAGTATAATTTTTGCCATGATCAGAATTACATTATATATTACTAGTTAGGTTTTTAATAAAAATAATACTATTTAAAACTTTTTATTCACAATTTAAAAACTTTTTAAGTGAAAAATTTTTAAGGTACACAAAAGAGTACAAAAAAATTTATCATCTGTGCAGATTTTATCTTGTTAAAGTAAATGACCTTACTATGGATGTTATAACTGTTAGTTAACAATTAGCATATATGACTGTCATCTAGTGATAAACTAAAAACTTTTTTATTCAACTAACTACCAATATTTAAAAAATCATTTTTGTTAAATTTTGGTTAAAATTTTTTTTAGCTTCCATGCGAAGCTGATAATGTATTGGTTTTACTATATGTTTTTTTTTTGTGTCTGTAACCACTTTTTCTCAGCTCTCACCCAACTGATTTCTTTCAACGATACGACAGTAGATCACAAATCGTATCTAATCTAAATGGTAAAAATCTTCAAAAAAATTACAAATTTAAAAATTGTTAATTTTTGACATTTTTTTACTTAAAACTGCCATAACTTTTTTGAAAAATGTATGGATCAATACAATTTTTTTTATAGATACATGAGGTAATTACTAATCATTTTATATATATATTTTATAAATCTGACCTTTTACCTGCCCACAAGAGGAGGATTCAAAATGACAACTTCTTCACAAATAATTATCTATTTCAACTTTTGAAAATATTCCAGAAATACTGACACCTTTATATATAACTTAAATTAATGCTTATATAATGTAATTTTAATATGAAGAAAAAAATTGTCGAACTTTATTTTGTTTTCATGGTGAATATGACTATATATGACTACCTTATTCAAAATTATTCTATTTTTGTGTTATAATTTTCGATTTTGTATTTTATATTATTTTCAAATACCTTATAAAAAATTTTGTGTAAGAAACAATTTTATAAATCTCATTTAAATTCTATAACTTCAATGATTATCAAGGATTCCATCACTGTTGTCACCTGTCGCGAGAAGAAATTTCTTATTAATATTAAAATTATTCTACTTTATAGTTTTTTTTTTTTGTGACTGTCATTTATTTTCTCATATCTCACTTGACTAACTTTTTTTAATGATACATCAAATGATCACAACCATTATCTAGTTAAAGATATTAGTCTCAAAACTTGAAAAAATTTTCACTTTATCAATTAAAAAGTTACTTAGACCACATTTTCCATATAGATAATTAAAATCATTAATTTCTAAATTGTTTAAAGTATTTATTGTCGAATGAGGTTTGATATGTAGATTTCAACTACAAAATTAAATAATTTTACTTTTAATTTAATAATTTTTTTATTCTATTTGTGTGTGCTACTACTAGACCAAAATATTCCAAATTTTTTGGTAACATGTTGCTATATAAATCATTTCTAAAAAAAAATTATTGTTATTTTCTCTTGAATTAATAATGAATTTTTACAATTATAATCAAATTTTATAATACGCTCAATTGAGTTCATTATTTGTGTGTGTTTCTACCAGTTTATAGTATCCCACATTTTATGATAAAATATTGCTTTACAAATCATAAATCTAAAAAAAATTT